CTGGCATGGCATCACCAGCTTCTGGGGCAAAGCAGGACCAGGCAGCTGGCACACACTCACCTGGCGTTCATCTCGACAGCGTTGTACCCCGCGTGCTTCGCGATGACGTGGGCCAGCGTGGTCTTCCCCAAGCCAGGTGGGCCACAGAGCAGGGCTACCTGCGGCAGAGAGGTACCATCAGCCCGGCAGGCAGCGAGGCAGGGCTTCCTCCAGCACTGACCACGGCTGCCACCCAAAGGGACGAGGCTCTGCCACCTGCAAACCAGTCTGACCCAATCCTTGGGAGCTGGGAAAATCCTTGTAGACATACTGGGAAAGGGGAAGTCACTGGAGGAAGGAGAATAGAACAGAAACTCTCAGAGGTGACGGAGTCATCCCAGCAGCATCTCTCAGGCATGTTTGATGTTTACAGGGCAGCAGATAGAAAAGGCTGCAGAAGACTCTTCTAGAATTACCTCCCGAGAAACAACCCTCTCTGTAGCTATTTTTCCCTATTTTTAGGGAAATATATTTCCCATTTTTATATCCTATTTCCCATTTTTATATCCTATTTCCCATTTTTAGATCCTATTTCCCATTTTTATATCCTACTTCCCATTTTTAGATCCTATTTCCCATTTTTAGATCCTATTTCCCATTTTTAGATCCTATTTCCTATTTTTATATCCTATTTCCCATTTTTAGATCCTATTTCCCATTTTTAGATCCTATTTCCCATTTTTATACCCTCTCACCGGACAGGTTGAAGCTGGTTAGCTGGCCTGGTTGTGTTATCTCCATCTGAGCATCGCTGCTCTTTTCCAGATGCAGAAACTCTTGCTCAATGGCATGTCACGTCTGTCCCCAACAAAAACAGTCAAGACCAACCTCTGCTAAAGAAGCTACGTCCTTCCTCCACTGGCCCATTTAATTTGGCTGAGGAAGCCTCTTCCCCTCCCTTTGCCACCACGTTACTCAAGCTGAAACATTTCTTCTTGGAGAAGAAATGAGAAAACCCCACATTCTCTAAGGAAAACCAAAGAATAAGCTTCCTCCTGGATCTCTACTGGAAGACCCTGCTCCTCAAACCATGGTGGTGGTATGAGGGGGATTGGAGAGAAGACCCACCACAGTAACCTCCTGCCCACCTCACCTTGTATTTGGGTCTCTTGTGCTGGTCCAGCTCAGCCTCCAGAATCTCCTCCATGAGCTGGACTTTTGTTTTCCACTTATTCTGCTGCTCCTTGGGCTGGTTGAATGGAGGATGAGCCTCAGTGCTGGGCTTGGCCTTCTTCACAGCCTTCTCCTTCCCAAACACCACCGTGTCCCAGAGCTTGAGCCACTTCAGAAGGCAACGGTTCGTGTACTGTATGTTGGGCAAGAAAATGAGTAAAGCCCATCAAACCTCAGAAGAATCCAGCCAAGGACAGAGGATGGGCTCTCCTTCATGGCTTAAAAACTGGGGTGGCCTCCAGAAGAAGGAGCTGAGCCCAGGGAGGCAGCACGGAGCGTGATAGATAGAGGCAACTGAGGCCAAGTCACATCAGCCCCATCCTTGCTGTCCTCATCTGCCTCAGCTCAGCCCAGCACTTCTCAGCCTCTTCCATAATTTCCAATTCCCTACAAAACTTCCAATATTCCAAAAAAAAATCAAAATAGCCAACAATTCCTGGCTAAAGTCCACCCGATTGTCTTATTTTGGTCATCTTTCACAGTCTCTTTTGTCAGAAGGTCCACAGCCTACAGCTGAAAAACCCCACCCCAAGCTCTCCACAGTAGGACAGCCCCTGGGCAGGGCTGGCATGGACAGAGCCCCCCAGCCAGGGCTTCCAAAAGCCCCATGAGCACCATCAAACCATGATCCCACAGCACTGAGGAGAGATTAAAAAGTGCTAAACCCACCCAAACCTCAAGCCCCCACTTGTCCTACTCACATCATCACTGAGCAGCTCCATGTAGCGCTGGGGAGTGAACTTGTCCACCCAGAGGCAATGAAGCACAGACTCCTCCTCACCCGCCGGATCCGCTTCCTCGCTGGGCTCCAGGTTCTCGGTGCTGGTTTCACTCTCGAGACAACTGCAAGAAAGAATTAACTCACCCCAAACTCACCCAGGGAGTCGGGACAGGGCTGGGAATCACACCCAGACTTCCCAAGCTGGGGATGATGAGGTTGCAAGAGGTTCCTCCAACTTGCAAGTCCTCAAAATTTGGACCTCAGCAGATCATCTCCAGAGCCACGTTCCACAGCGCAGCAGGGATAGGAGCAGGATTTTGTCCCAACATCTCACCTGGTTATAATCTCTGTCAGTTGCTGTGATGCCTCCAGGACACGTGTTCGACGCTTGAATGGACAAAGGGGGACAGTGGGGTCAGAGATGTCCCGGTAACCCACAGCTGGGGGGAGTGAGGATTTGGGAGCCAACATCATGACTTATCCAGGGGTGGAAGGGGAAGACTAGAAGGTTGGTAGAAGATGTGATACCTCTTCATTCACTTGTTCCTTCAGGTAGGAGAAAGGCACTCCTAGCAAGTGGAGTGGCCTCCGTGCATTCCAGCCCAGGGAATCAGGGATCTGTGAGGAGCAGAAGACACTGACGTTCATATCAATGCTCATCAGAAAAATTTCATGCTCCATCAAAGATCTCCTCATGAATTAGATGGAGATCACAAAGATGCAAGTTCAGCCTTCAGATCCTTCCTTACCTCCACTCCTGTTCTGGAAGGATCATCTCTCATGATCATGAAGACCCTGGTGCCCTCAGTGGATGTCACGTTGATGTAGTCCTCCAAGATGGGTGGTCGCTTGAGGACCTGTTTCTTCTTGGAGGGTGGTGTGGTACATAGAGGGACCATGCCACTCATCT